ATTGTAGGACAATGATTAATATACATTTTAATTTAACACATTATATAATATATTTATTAAAAAATTATTATTTTTGAATATAAAATTAAAAGCAAATAGATTTAAAAATATAATCATGCATATAAAATGCACGAATTAATTGAATTGGTTATATTTATATTATATTTTAATAATTAAATTAAAATAAGTGTCATAAAATATATTAAATTAAGTATATATCAATTATTTTCTTATCATATTATATAAATTTATTCATTTAATGATACATTTACATGATGTCTTATATTGCAAAAGAAAAATATGAATGTAGTATCTAAAAAAATATTGGAAAAAAGGAACCTTAACATAGACATCATGGAAGAAGCTACCACAGACCTGCTACACTTTTGAAAAATGTCTAATAAGATATATCAATTTTTGTTTACGACAAAATTTGTTTTTGATATTTGAAATTATAGAAACAAGGAGTTGAACCAAAATCTATTATTGGATAAGGTCTATTCTATTTTTGAGTAATAGGGCACAAAATTAAAAGGTTTTGTGTATTATGTTTATTTTAATAGGTAAAGTTCATAATTGCAAGACTTTAAAATTATGGAAGTCTTTTGAGAGGAGGGTAGAGTTTGTGCCTATATAACTCCTTTCAAGAGTAGGTCCGCCCTTGATGATATCCATTTCAAATCTAAAGGAAATAATTAGGACCAAGATAAAGTGGCAATTTTTCTTTTTGGGACCCATTCTTAAGAAATAAAATTTTATCCAGGTAAAAAAGAATTTAAAAAAGTAATTAAGATCAAGTTATATTAGTATAACTTACATATAATATTATATTAGTTGTAATTTTTTATATAATTATATTTTATCAAATTGATGATCAGATTTGATATTTTATTCTATACATTCTTTATTTAAAGTTTATGTGATATATAGAATTACATGAAAAAAGAAACTATACTTTATTTGAAATTGATAAGTGTCACTCCAAAATTACAATGTTTTAATAAAAAACTAAAATAAAATAAAATGGTCTTTATTTTTTCTTAAAAATATGTTATTTTAGTTTTTTAATTAAAATTTATT